ATCACTACCTTTCTGACAAGGAGATGCTTTCTCTCTTTCTGATTTTGCTTGCCGAGTGGTCGAATTTAGTACAAGTGGGATTTGTTTCTTACTACCGGTGACCAAGAAAGAACAATTTCTGCTTCTTAGCACTCGCATAAGGGCTTCTTTTAACTCCTTTTCCTCGGTCCGTGTGGAGGGTCATTGCACATCCTCTAATGGCACTTCACTCAACTAGGGATCGTACTTGATAAGCAACATCATAAGGTGGCGAACCGATTCTCAATTGAATCTTTCCTAATCCCCATGTGCAATGAGTGATTGCCTCACACGATTTTGGCATTTTTACCCACACTTAAATTGTTATGGCAACTTTCTTATATTTTACTTGTCAGGTAGTGTTTTCTTTTATGAAGATACAGTTCACCCCATCATAAAACAATCAAAACAGAGAGACTCGTTGCAAAGTCAACAACTCACAATAGATGCCAGTAAGCACGGTATCCAAACATGTCGAGTGGTCAATGTTCTCCACCTAACTACTTCACCAAAAGTCATTACACTATCCTCACAAAAGAGAATGTTGCTAAAAGAGTTGCTCATTTAAAGCATATCAAGTCATTCAAAACATTCAAGCTCATTGTGAAGAACTATGCAATTCAACACTAGTGGGGTGATTTTGATGATTTCATTCAAGCACAAACTCATTTTAAAGGCATCACGGTCATTTACATCATGTTACCACAAGAGTACAAGGTTTTGTTTTTAGTTTTTCTGATGTTTAGGTGTGTTTTAGCCATTAGCTTTGCACAGGCAGACTGCACCAACACAGGCAAACTGCATGCAGTTTGCCTGTGCTCAACCTAATGGCAATTTTTTTCCGATATACACATGACGAGACACTGTGGACAACTAAGACTTGACACCTAAACATAAAACACGACAAGAACACAGACCATCCACCCCCACAATCAGGATGGACAATGTCTGCTACTACACACGACACACCAACAGGTTCACCTAGCTAACATTATTACAGACCATCATCCACTACGAGAAGAATTCACAAAGAAAATTAGAAAAGAAAAGAAAAAAGAACCTCGGGACAAGCTCCTACGAAGGAGGGGTCGATGAAGAAGTGTTGAACTTCTCATCTAGACTCTGGCTGAGCTCCTTGATCTTCTTATCTTTCTCTGCGTCTCTAGCTTCCAAGATAGGTATTTTGGCTCTAAGATCGTCTCCAGATGATGGTGAAGCTGGTACAACTGGTGGGGTAACTCCTGGATGCGGAACTGGAGGTGAATGTGACCGCTGGCTCTGGCTGACACTCGTTGCAGAGTGCCCTACTGGTGCTGGGGATGATGAACAAGCACCCAGAGGTGCGGGTGTAGAAGCTGGAACTGTTGTCGGAGTGGCTACCGACGGTGCTGGAGATGATGCTGAAGTAGAAGTTGATCTAGCAGCCTTTGCTGCCCCATTCCGATTGTTCACAATCTCCCACTCCTTATATTTGGCGATGGATAGATATTCACCACGACATCCTGCTCTCCTCAGAAAACCCAACTTGCCTAACGTTGTTTCCCCAAGCAGAGTCGATCCCTCACTTATCTCCAAACCCGTAGGGTTCTCTGGTAACCCCCAGTAAGCTCAAGCTAAAACTGTAATGATTCCCCCACACAAAATACCTCCACATGTTTTGGCTGCTTCATTTTCAAACATCTTACCCACCATGTACCCAACACACAATGGTGCTCCAGTGACGAAACTGTGAATGTACCTGAGATCGGTGGTGTAGACACCACTGCATTTGATCCCTTTCCCAAGACGGTTCGAGCCAAGTAGTCGTGTACTAGTGGGATCACAGGATCTCGGATAGATGCTCTCCTCGAAGAACTAGGGTTGAAGTCCTTTCCATTTGCCACAATTGTCTTCCAAAACGCTCCCAAATCCTGTGCTTCATCAGGAATTGCATCTGCTGCACCATCGAAGTAAAGTGCTCGGTTCACTTGGCTCAAGTGAGGGACTTGGTTTGCCCCGCCAAAGTACTCTGAAGCTTGCTCTCAACCCCACTATCCTCGAAGCTGTAGGTGGCCAAGAATGCTCTGGTGAGGTGTGGATAGGTGGGAAAGTGCAGCTCCGGAAATCTTGCCCAATTCATCCTGCGAAAATATGCCATCACCTCCTCAGCCCGCTCTGTCTTCAGCAATGCTTCATAGTCCATGAACTGAGAAGGGATCACCTCTCGTTTCATCAGATTTGCCTAATCCTCTTTATGTTGCTGGAGCTGGAGAGGTCGACCGAACGTCTTAGCGATATCTTTTGGAAAAGAAGAATCAACCTTCTTCTTGCTTGCAACTGGGGTAGTACGACGTGGTGTCATGGATGGTGCAGATGCTGAAGAAGAAGTCTTCCTCTGTGGTCGTGAAGATGAGCCCGGTTGCTGGAGACAAGTCCTCTTTGCTGGCCTGCTCTCAGGTGATACAACTAGTGTTGAATCTGGGAGTGGAAGTTCTTCAGGAGGCATTTGAGCAGGCTGCTGTGGTGGAGATGGAGCAGGAGAAGTCATCTAAATAGTCCGGGACCGCATCGTGGGTCCAACATGGCCGGTGATGACCCTGTGAAACCGAGCTGGCATGCTGACTCCTTGAAATCGTGGGGGAACTTCGGGAATTGGGCTATCTCGATCAGTCATCTTGTGGCTATCTTCAATAGTCCACGAACGGTACACAATCTTACCATCCACACTTTGATCAGTGACCTTGAATTGCCGAGGTGGAGGGGTGTATCTTCGACGTCCCATACCTGCAATCAAGAGTGCAAACTGGGAAAACAAACTTCTTTAGCCTTCACTCTGCTCTTGAATCACCAAATTTGCACAAGTCTGTACTCTTCCTCCCAAATTCCAGATCAATGCCACCACAATCAGAAAATCCCCAAATCTGGAACCTCAATTCACCCAATTTCAAGCTACAATTTCCAATCAAAATCACCAAGCGAAACTGCAATTCGAATCCAGCACCTTTTCCCTTTGAAAAATATCTTCTAACCTTCTTCTAAACAACAATCCCTCTTCAATTTGCCAAACCAACCACCAATCAACCAATTTTTTTACTCCCCAGATTCGAAATTGCACAAAATCCTCAATTTGAAGAACCCTAATTTTTTTCTTCTTGAATCCTCAACTGCTCTAGGTTCTGGAAATCAAACCTGGGGAGAAGGGAGACTGGTCGAAGCTGATGGAGGAGTGGTTTGGTGGTGCTGGACCCGAAGACGACCGCCAGGGAGGGCCGGCGCGAGCTCGAGCTCGAGCTGCTTGAAGACAGCGAAGCGGGACTGCTGGGGACGCGTCGAAGTGCCGCGAGCGGCTAGAGACTTTGCGACGAGCTCAGGCGGGATGGGCGAGGCGGCGAGACAGCGCGAGCTGGTGCGACGAAGCTCTGGTTCGTCTCTGCTGCTGGGGAGTCGAAGGGAAGGAGGGGAGGAGCGGGGAGGAAGAAAGGGCCACGTTTCTGTCTTCTGTCTTCTTTCTTTCTTTTTTTCAATTTCTGTCATCCGCTTTTTTATTTTTTACAGGTAGGAGAATCTCCCTTTCAGTTCCCCCCTTCCTTCTCAAAAATTTCAGATCAGTCCTTCCTCCCTTTCTCAGTTTGCTTGTGCGAATTTCGCGGCCTCCCCGTGCTTCCGCAGCCTGCCCGTGCATCTACAAAACACCAAATAATATCTTCCTCAAAGCTTTTGGAGCTGAAATTTGGCGGAGAGCCTCTAGACACACTTTAAAACTAAAAAATTTAAAAAAAAATTGAAAGAAAAACTCACCTTGGGTTGCCTCCCAAGAAGCGCTTGTTTTTCGACGCTAGCTTGACGTAAAATAGCTCATTCCAGATGATATGTTGAGATTTCCAGGACGAAAACCCCTTCAATATAGTGCTTGAGCCTCTAACCATTCACCTTAAATGCCCCTTGATCACCAAGAATCTCGATTGCACCATGTGGGTACACTTTGGTCACCGTAAATGGTCTGGACCACCTTGACTTCAATTTTCCAGGGAAAAGTTTAAGGCGTGAGTTGAAAAGTAATACCTTCTCTCCCACCTTGAACTCCCTTCTCATTATGTGGTGATCGTGCCACTTCTTGGTTTTCAACTTATAAATCCGGGCATTTTCATAGGCATTAAGCCTAATCTCGTCAAGCTCATTCAGTTGCAACAACCTCTTCTCTCCAGCAGTTTGTAGATCAAAGTTCAGCTTCTTGATAGCCCAATACGCCTTATGCTCGAGCTCGACGGGCAAGTGGCAATCTTTTCCAAACACCAATCTGTACGGAGACATGCCTAAAGGAGTTTTGAAAGCAGTCTGGTATGCCCAGAGTGCACCATCTAACTTCCTTGCCCAATCTTTCCTTGTAGAATTCACTGTCGTCTCCAGAATGTGTTTCAGTTCTCTGTTGGAAACTTCCACTTGCCCGCTGGTTTGTGGATGATAGGGTGTAGCTACTCAATGCTTAACCCCATATCTGGCCAACAACGTGTTCAACTCCTTTCCCATGAAGTGTGTACCCTCGTCACTGATGAGAACTCGAGGGACTCCGAATCCGGTGAACACGTTCTTCCTCATGAAATTCACCACCGTCTTTGATTCATTGGTGGGCAACGCCACTGCCTCCACCCACTTGGATACATAGTCGACTGCGACTAAGATATATTTGTTGTTGAAAGATGGTGTGAATGGCCCCATGAAATCCACTCCCCATACATCAAACATCTCTACCTCCAAAATCGAGTTCTGCGGCATCTCCATCCTTGCAGATATGTTCCCTGTTCTTTGGCACCTATCCCTGAGGGCATGCCACCTGGCTATGTGGTCCTGCCGGCGCCAGGGGCAGGGAGCCCAGGAGCTGCCACGTGGAGGCGCCCGACCGTTGGGCCGTACCGAGCATTTAATGACGCGCTGATGTGGAGCTGAATTCTAGGAGCCTGGTCGGGGCCTCGACGAGTATAAATAGTACTCGGTAGGTAGCATTTAGGCAGGTTGGCTTCTCTCACTAAAATCTCTCTAAGCACTTATCTCTCCAAATTCGACACTGACTTGAGCGTTGGAGTGCTAACGGGCATCCCAAAACCCTTTAGGCGCCTGTCTCTGCAGGATCTAGGTGCCCCTGGAGAAGTTCATCAGTCGAAGGTCCGGAGAGGTGGGCCCGGAGGGTACTTGGCTCAAACAATTGGCGCGCCAGGAAGGGGGCGCATGGAAAACATGAACGAAGCAAATGAGGGGGAGGATAATTCAAAATCGGGGAACTCAAATCACGAGAAGGGCGAGCGTCAGCGGAGTCATGAGTTGAGCATGGACGTGGAGGAGCAAGAGAGCCCTGGGCGCCTGTTAGCGGATGAGGGGGAATCCTTGACGAAGAGAGAGTTATTCCGAATCATAGCTGACCAAGATCGGGCCATAGCGGCGCTCAGGAGGGAGTTGGAGGGGTGATATTCGGCTTTAATATATCGGATTCTTGGACTTTATGTGATTATCCGTGGTATGTTTTAGCCGATTGGTGCTATTTTAGGGCTCGCTAACCCGAGAATGGTTGAAAAACCATTATTGCCTAGTGCCATGAGTTTGATATGATACAGGTGGAGAAAGCACGAAAAAGGAACGAGTGCACAAGCAATAAATCGGGCTCGAATTACTTGTGGACTACTCACTTGGGCTCAAGGCCCAGAGGAACTGGACAAAGGCTGAGGACGGGAACCAAATTCTATTTTTGGGCCTGAAATTCTTAATTTTGGGCGGATCTAGGCTGGCAATTTTTTGGTGGGCGGTGGAATTATTGTGAGAAGGGGGAACGAAATTGCTTTTGGGTGGAGGTTTTGGATTTGGAAGGAGAGTCCAGGGAAGAGAGAATAAAAAGAAAGGGACAGAGGCAATTGAATTCGGGGGGGGGGGGGGGAGAATTCTCTTGGAGAAAGGAACGGAATTAAAGCGAAGGCGACAGGGAGCAGGCGCAGCGGAGAAGCAGCTTGCGCGAGCGATCGAGTGCAGGGCAGGGAAGAAAATTTCAGTATTTGTTTTTCTTTTGCTTTGCTTCGTAACATGATGAACAAAATCCTATCGATTTATCTTAGTTTCATCATGAACTAAACCCCAATTTCTGGGGGAAACACCATAGGATGTAGCTATTTCTTGATTTGATGGATTGATTCATGATTCTTTTCTTCCAATCTCTATTGCATGAAATTACTTAATGCTTTGTGTTGACTGGCCACCAATATAATGATTTGTTGTTAATTAGGTTATTAGCGACAGTGAAACCCTAATAACGGAACATATTTCATGTGACATAGTAACTTATCAAAGCGACAGTGGATTAAATAAGATGCTATGTGGTCTTGAATAGGATATCGATCTTCAGGCTAAATAATTAAGTCATTGAGCTACGACAGTAGGATTTGATTTAATTGTTTAGTACGTAGTAATGCCCGACAGGGACAGCTAGCACATTCGTGATATCCTGGCTGTAGAGGTATGGATTAAATTGATTGGAATATGTGAATTAATCTGGATAGGATAGGTAGTGAATCCCGGTGTTTCTCCCAGAGCTTTCTCCCATTGATTTAAACCCGACATTTTAATTTGCTTGTTTTGTTTAATTACTTTGCTAGTAGATCATAGTTTCATCTCATTAAACATTTTCACATATAGTTTGCTCAATAAAAATTGATAGAACTTAAGGTTGTACCAGTCCCTGAGAGACGATACCCGGACTTTCCGGTTTTACTACAAGATAGGAATTGAAGCTATACGCTTTTGCCCTATCAAGTTTTTGGCGCCGTTGCCGGGGACTGCCATACCTTATTTTTGTTGATTTTTGTGAGTGAACTATTTTGATCTGGGTGTTAGTGTGCAGAAGAATTTTCAGGTGTATCCTCCTCGTGCATGCCAAGGAGGACGACTGGCAATTTACTGCCACTTGATCCCGAGATCGAGAGGACCTGCCGACAGAACAGGAAGCAGGTCAAGTTAGGGAAGCAGCCTACCACATCCACAACTCCTAGGCCTTCCCTAACCAAGAGAGGGCAGGCTTCATCACCTGTCGTCCCTACACCACCTACACCACCGCCGCGCGTCATCGAGCCTGTCATCATGGCAGAACAGGATCGGTCGATCAGGGCTCGTCTGAATCGGAGGACTGGAGCCCGAGCTTCATGTGTTGTCATTCCGGCTGGGGATGCAAACATGGAGATTGCCCCAGCCTTCATCAATATGATCACTAATGGGTACACCTTCTCAGGGGCCAGCACCGAGGATCCTCATGAACATCTCCGCCGGTTTGCAAACATTTGTGACACAATGAAGAGCCCGGCTGTGTCTGATGATGCCATCCGTCTTCGGATGTTCTCATTTTCTCTGCTAGGGAATGCATCACACTGGTTCCAGAACTTGACACCCCGTTCCATCACAACATGGGGTCAGCTTGAGAAGACCTTTTTGGATAAGTACTTTCCTCCTGCCAAGGCAATGAAGAGGCAAGAGGAAATTGTCACTTTTAAACAAGCTGAGGATGAAAGTCTGACCGAGGCATGGGAGCGCTATAAGGAGCTTCTAATGAGATGCCCGAGCCACGGTCTTGAAGATTGGAACGTGATCTCCATCTTCTTCAACGGAATCAGAAGACAATTCCGAGATGCTCTGAATAATGCTTCCCGAAATGGTTTCACAAGAATGGAAGCACCAGAAGCATATGAACTGTTGGAGAAGATATGCTCTGAAGATACTGAATGGGGTAGTGAGACCGGCATTCGAAGGAGAGGAGGCTTGCATGAGATAGACAGAGTTGCAAGTTTAGAAGCAAAGATTGATGCTAAGCTGGATTCCAAGTTCGATGCACTCGAACGAAGGCTGGCTAAGATGGCTCTTGGTAGACAGCAAGAGGTTGCTTTGTGCGAATTATGTGAAGGTGCTCATCATAGGGATCTATGTCCACTGGTAGCTGATCAGTTGGAAGATGTGCACTATATCAACAATCAACAAAATCAAGACCAGGGTGGTATGTATTCAAATACCTACAACCCGCAATGGAGGAAGCATCCTAACTTTTCCTGGGCAAACAACAACCCAGCTGGTGCTCGCAACATTGCTCCTCCAGGCCTGCAGAAACAACAACCTCAACCAGAGAAGAAACCACAACTTGAAGAATTGCTTCTGGCTCACATGCAGAAAACCGACAATAATCTGAAGGGTCTTGATCAATTTGTCACTCAACAGCTAGCCATCAACAATAATTTGCAATCATCTATGCTAGCTATGGAGAGGCAAATAGGCCAGATGGCTGAAACTTTGGCAGATATGCAAGGCAGGATTCCTGGGACATTACCAGCAAATACTGAGAGGAATCCGAAGGATGCCATGGTTGTAGCAGTGACATTGAGGAGTGGAAAGGCCTTGGAAGACCCTAGGAGCTCGAAAAAGGCACCAGAGGCAGAAGAGGAAGCACCGGGAGAAAGATCTTGTGCAGAAAATGAAGAATCAGCCTTGCACAGGCAAAATGAAAGCGGTTTGCCTGTGCAAAAGCATGCTGCCCGTGTACCTCAAAAAGTGGAAAAATTGAAGAATGAAGAGGTAAAGCCTTATGAACCTCCCGCTCCATTCCCTCAAAGGTTAATGAAGCCCATGGAAGACCCAAACTTCAAGAAATTTGTGAATATCTTCAAGCAACTCCAGATTAACATACCCTTGGCGGAGGCACTTGAACAGATGCCTACATATGCTAAATTCTTAAGGGAGTTGCTGACAAAGAAGCGCAAATGGGCTGATCTAGAGAAGGTAACCCTTACTTCTGAATGTAGTGCTGTGATTCAGAATAAATTACCAGAAAAGAGGGATGATCCGGGCAGCTTCACCATTCCATGTGTCATTGGAGGTACAGAATTCGATAAATCACTTTGTGATCTTGGAGCAGGAATTAATTTGATGCCATACTCAGTCTACAAGAAATTGGGATTGGGAGATGTTCTTAAGCCTACTCGGATCACACTCCAATTGGCTGATCGATCAGTAAAAATTCCAAAGGGAGTGGTGGAGAATGTATTGGTGAAGGTGGGAAAGTTTATTCTCCCAACAGATTTTGTCATTTTGGAGATGGAAGAAGATCGGGGAGTGCCTCTAATCCTCGGCAGACCTTTTCTAGCAACCGGTGATGCACTCATCGATGTTGGGAGAGGCAAGTTGACATTCCGAGTAGGTAAGGAGGAGGAAATTTTTAATGTCTTTCAAGTTGACCATAATCATGATGAATTTGAAAGTGAAGCTCGAGAAAGGAAAAATCCCTCTTCCTGTGATAGTGGACCATCCGAAGAACTATCACCTATCCTATCTGCTCAGATTCTGAAGTCAAAGCAAGGGCAGAAATCCTTGCCAGGTCACCTCAAGTATAGATATTTGGGTAAGGATTTCAATCTTCCTGTTATTATTCCTTCTTCACTGACATTGAAACAGGAAGAGTACCTGCTTGAGGCGCTGCAGTACCACCTATGCCTCACTAGAGGGTCTAACATGCCAGCTAAGAAGGTCATACCCAATTTTCGCACACCTGGCCCTGCAGAGGTGACTCATATGCTGGATGGAGGTTATGCGTTCTACCATTGCTCGGGAGGGTATGCTGGATACCTTTCCATACCCATTGGTTGAAAGCTCCATAAACGTCAGGCTGAGGACGTTAAACAAGCGCTTCTTGGGAGGCAACCCAAGGTAAGTTTTCTTTTCTTTATTTTTATTTTTAGTTGTGTCAAACCCGTGCATGTTTAGATTAGGAGTTGAACATTAGGGACAATGTTCCATCCTGAGTGTGGGGTGGCGAGTCTTAGTGTTTGTTTGTTCCTTTTGTCATGTGGTCAGTAAAAAAAAAAAAAAAAATATTTCAAAAAAAAAAAAATTGTTTGTTCCTTTTGTCATGTGGTCGGTAAAAAAAAAACAAAAAATCCAAAAAAACAAAAAAAAATTGCCATTAGGTTGAGCACAGCCAAACTGCATGCAGTTTGCCTGTGTAAAAAGCAGTCTGCCTGTGTAAAAAGCAAGCTGCCTGTGTTAATCTAATGGCTAAAAAACACCTAAAAATCAGAAAAATCAAAAACAAAACCTTGTACTCTTGTGGTAACATGATGTAAATGACCGTGATGCCTTGAAAATGAGTTTGTGCTTGAATTAAATCATCGAAATCACCCCACTAGTGTTGAATTGCATAGTTCTTCACAATGAGCTTGAATGTTTTGACTGACTTGATATGCTTTGAATGAGCAAACTCTTTTAGCAACATTCTCTTTTGTGAGGATAGTGTAATGACTTTTGGTGAAGTAGTTAGGTGGAGAACATTGACCATTCGATATGTTTGGATACCGTGCTTACTTGCATCAATTGTGAGCTTTTGATTTTGCAATGAGTCTCTCTGTTTTGAATGTTTTATGATGGGGTGAACTGTATCTTTATAAAAGAAAACACTACCTGACAAGTAAAATATAAGAAAGTTGCCATAACAATTAAAGTGTGGGTAAAAATGCCAAAATCGTGTGAGGCAATCACTCATTGCACATGGGGATGAGGAAAGATTCAATTGAGAATCGGTTCGCGACCGTACGATGTTGCTTATCAAGTACGATCCCCAGTTGAGTGAAGTGCCATTAGAGGATGTGAAATGACCCTCCACACGGACCGAGGATAAGGAGTTAAAAGAAGCCCTTATGCGAGTGCTAAGAAGCAGAAATTGCTCTTGCTCGGTCACCGGTAGTAAGAAACAATCCCACTTGTACTAAATACGACTTCTCGGCAAGCAAAAGCAGAAAGAGAGAAAGCCTCTCCTTGTCATAAAAGGTAGTGATGTGCTTAAAATTAAAATCTTGTTTGCGAAAGGCTTCCCCCATTAGTTTTTGAGACTCATGCATGATTAATTGCTTATGATTGGTGTGAGTAAGCCAGATTGTCCTCACGAGATATGTACCTCAATGATGTGGTTAGATTCTCCTAATAACTGTTGCACCATAAGTTGTTAACCACCCGCTACCGACGATCGAAATTGAGTGTTGCTATTTGAGTTTTTGATGGATTCGAGTCAGTCAATGGTAAGGGTTGCAAAGAACTTGAGTGTGGGGTGAAAGGGTATGATCAATAAAGCACAACTCGTCCGTTGAGAAAGAAACTACTGATTACAACAAGAGTACAAGGAAATTTTGTGTTTTGCTTTGAATGTTGAGTCTGTAATGTGTCATTGTTTTGGGTGATTTTGTGTTTGTGTTGTTTGAGTCGTTGCTTAGGGACAAGCAACAATTGAGTGTGGGGTTGTGATATTCGGCTTTAATATATCGGATTCTTGGACTTTATGTGATTATCCGTGGTATGTTTTAGCCGATTGGTGCTATTTTAGGGCTCGCTAACCCGAGAATGGTTGAAAAACCATTATTGCCTAGTGCCATGAGTTTGATATGATACAGGTGGAGAAAGCACGAAAAAGGAACGAGTGCACAAGCAATAAATCGGGCTCGAATTACTTGTGGACTACTCACTTGGGCTCAAGGCCCAGAGGAACTGGACAAAGGCTGAGGACGGGAACCAAATTCTATTTTTGGGCCTGAAATTCTTAATTTTGGGCGGATCTAGGCTGGCAATTTTTTGGTGGGCGGTGGAATTATTGTGAGAAGGGGGAACGAAATTGCTTTTGGGTGGAGGTTTTGGATTTGGAAGGAGAGTCCAGGGAAGAGAGAATAAAAAGAAAGGGACAGAGGCAATTGAATTCGGGGGGGGGGGGGGGGGGGGGGGGGAATTCTCTTGGAGAAAGGAACGGAATTAAAGCGAAGGCGACAGGGAGCAGGCGCAGCGGAGAAGCAGCTTGCGCGAGCGATCGAGTGCAGGGCAGGGAAGAAAATTTCAGTATTTGTTTTTCTTTTGCTTTGCTTCGTAACATGATGAACAAAATCCTATCGATTTATCTTAGTTTCATCATGAACTAAACCCCAATTTCTGGGGGAAACACCATAGGATGTAGCTATTTCTTGATTTGATGGATTGATTCATGATTCTTTTCTTCCAATCTCTATTGCATGAAATTACTTAATGCTTTGTGTTGACTGGCCACCAATATAATGATTTGTTGTTAATTAGGTTATTAGCGACAGTGAAACCCTAATAACGGAACATATTTCATGTGACATAGTAACTTATCGAAGCGACAGTGGATTAAATAAGATGCTATGTGGTCTTGAATAGGATATCGATCTTCAGGCTAAATAATTAAGTCATTGAGCTACGACAGTAGGATTTGATTTAATTGTTTAGTACGTAGTAATGCCCGACAGGGACAGCTAGCACATTCGTGATATCCTGGCTGTAGAGGTATGGATTAAATTGATTGGAATATGTGAATTAATCTGGATAGGATAGGTAGTGAATCCCGGTGTTTCTCCCAGAGGTTTCTCCCATTGATTTAAACCCGACATTTTAATTTGCTTGTTTTGTTTAATTACTTTGCTAGTAGATCATAGTTTCATCTCATTAAACATTTTCACATATAGTTTGCTCAATAAAAATTGATAGAACTTAAGGTTGTACCAGTCCCTGAGAGACGATACCCGGACTTTCCGGTTTTACTACAAGATAGGAATTGAAGCTATACGCTTTTGCCCTATCAAGGGGGAGCAAAGTGAAGACATGATGATGTACAGCCCCGGATTGAGAAAGCGAGAAAGGGCGGGGGAAGACTCGGAGTCACAGCAACACGGACTTCCGCACCACACCGAGCAGGGACACGATATGCCTGGGCGTCCGCGCGCCTGGAGACTGCCCGCCGAGCACACGCAGACGAGACCTGATGACGTATGGGCGCCTAGGAGGATTGCCAGGCGGTTCGGCGTTCGTCAACCCCTGGCACGAAGCATCCTGATGGAACCGGCGGGAACGACGATTCCTCCATTACCCAGTTACGATGGGGTGGCCGACCTAGAGAATCATCTGATGTAAGGTGTTTCCATCCACGTTTGCGGGTGTGGTCTTGGATTGGTACCATCAAATCGAGGAGGGGCGCATAGAGTGTTTTGAGCAGTTCGCTGAGTTATTCTTGTCCAAGTTCGAAAGTAGGAAGCGCCGAACGTTGACCATAGGCGCACTGTTCAAAGTGAGGCAGAGGGAAGGGGAGGCGCTTAGGGAATTCTACGATCGGTGGATCTCAGTCGCCATGGCATTCAAGGATGTCCAACTAGCAGTGTTAGGAGTTTTCCTAGATGCATGCACGTCCAACGAAGAACTCTGCCGAGTCCTTTCTAAGCGAGATGTGGTGTCCACCGAAGACTTGGACCGGAGAGTGCAGAAGGTGATCATGTTGGAGGAAACGTTGGCTGCACGAAGGGCCGAGAAAAGGCGCCTAAGGGGTGATGAAGTGGAGGCAAGGCAAGCGCCCATACCCATGTCTGGAAATTTTGGTCCGCAAAGGAGGCCAGAGGCGCCGTGCCCTGTGCCAAGGAGTGCTGCAAATTTCACGGAGTACAATGATACCCTCAAAAATGTGCTATAATATGTGAAGGACAGGGGCTACCATATACGGTGGCCGGGGCCCATGCGCGGCCAACTGAACGAGAAAAATCTTGACAGATACTGTGACTTCCATCGCGACAAGGGGCACTATACGGCTAACTGCTACCAACTTAAGGCCGAACTTCAGACTTTAGCCAACAAGGGCATGCTCAACGACTTCGTGAGAAGAGTGGAGGACAGGACCCATCGAACTTATGTGGCCAGGCCGGCGCTTGTGGCGCCGATTGTCCAAAAGGCGCCGGTAGAGCCAAAAACCCAGCGGGAGACTGTGATACCGCCGCCCCCGTTTGAAGTTGACCAAGAAGGGAAGACCCACCAGGAGCCTGTGATACCGCCACCCCCGTTTGAAGTTGACCAAGAAGGGGAGCCTAGTCGCATCAGGCTAACGGTCGAATCCATAACCGGCACACTCGATTTGAGGGAGAAGTTGGAGAGAACAAGGCGCCTGAGGTCCGCATCGTTGGAGGCCAGGGCAGCGGTGCACATCCACTTCAATCAAGAACCGGATGAAGCATGCCAAGTCCCATCGGAAGAGGCTTTGGAGATACAAGGGGTGATAGCAGGGTGTAAGGTGAAAAGAATGCTGGTGGACACAGACAGTTCGATGGATGTCCTCTTCAAAAGCACGTTCGAGCGCATGCATCTAGCGCCTGAGCTGGTGCGCCCCTCGAGTTCTGTGTTGATTGGGTTCTCGGGAGCGCCATCCCAAGTCATCGGGCGCGTGCGCCTGCCCGTGACCCTCGGTGATGAAACGCATTGTGTGACGCATTCGGTAGAGTTCGGGATTGTGGATTGTCCTTCGCCATATAACGTGATACTTGGTCAACCACTCCTAGCACAATTCAATGGGGTAGCATCCACTTGTCACCAAACGCTGAAATTTGTAGCGCCCCAGGGCATTGGTATCTCCCGAGGAAGGAATGTTCCACGGTATGCGCGAGAAGAGGACCCAAGGAGCCGCGTCCGTAAGCATAAAGTCAACACTATCGATGTTCGCTTTGAGGAAGCGCCTAGGGCGGAGTCCGTGGATGATGAGCTTGTGGTGTCCTTGGATGAGGGGCGCCCAGAGAGACAAGTGTGGATATCAGCGCGGGCTCCTGAAGTGATGAGGGCGCCTTTAATCGAATTGTTGCGAGAGTTTGGGAAGTTGTTTGCGTGGGGCGCCCAGGACATGCCCGGGGTGTCTCCTGAGGTAGCAGTGCACCGGCTCGCTGTGGAGGAAGGAAAAAGGCATGTTCAACAGAAGCGCCAAAATCTGTCCCAAAAGAAGGAGGAGGCACTTCGCCGAGAAGTCGATAGATTGCTCGAGGCGGGATTTGTGGAGGAAGCAAGGTACATCACATGGCTTTCCAACGTGGTGTTTGTCCCGAAATCGTCGGGAGATTGGAGGATGTGTGTGGACTTCACCAACCTTAACCAAGCGTGCCCCACAGACGCATACCCCATGCCGCGCATCGACCTGCTTGTGAACACAACAGCTTACCATGAGGCTCTTAGTTTCCTCGATATGTTCTCAGGATACCATCAGATACCTATGGCAGAGGAATACATGGCAAAGATGGCTTTCATGACACTTTTCGGAAACTTCTGTTACAGAGTGATGGCGTTTGGGTTGAAGAACGTCGGGGCAACATATCAGCGCATGGTGAACCAAGTTTTCCGCAAACAACTAGGAAGGAATGTGGAATCATATGTGGATGATTTGATCGTAAAGAGCAGCAGGCGCCAAGACCACATCATGGACTTACGAGAAACTTTCGAGACAATGCGGCACTATCGGTTAAGGCTTAATCCCAAGAATTGTGTGTTCTTGGCCGAGGCCGGGAAATTCTTGGGGTTCATGATAACAAGGCGGGGAATTGAGGCTAACCCCAAGCAAGTCGAGGCCATAATGAGTTTGGGTCCCCCACGGACGCCTAAGGAGGTACAAGTATTGACGGGGAGACTGGCAGCGCTGGGGCGCTTCATCACAAGATCCTCCGACAGGGGCGCCCCCTTTTTCAAAGTTTTTAAAAAAGCTAACAAAATTCAAGTGGACCAATGAGTGTAACGAGGCTTTCGAAGATTTGAAGAAGCTGCTCACGGCGCCCACGATAATGACGGAGCCTAAGGCTAAGGAGGTGCTATACTTGTACATAGCCGTGTCTAACATCGCTGTGAGTGCGGTTCTCATATCCAAAGATCCATTTACAAATGAAGAGAAACCGGTGTATTATGTGAGCCGCACCATGGTGGGTCATGAGACGCGGTATGCGCCTATAGAGAAAGCGGCGCTGGCGGTAGTAATGGCAGCAAACAAACTCCGGCCCTACTTTCAGGCTCATCGTATCATGGTGCTCACAAATCTTCCCCTCAAGACGGTACTGGGATCAATGGATGCGTCCGGGCGCTTGGTGAAGTGGGCCGTGCAAATCAGTGAGTTTGACATACACTATGCGCCCCGGCCAGCTTTCAAAGCTCAGGTATTGGCAGATTTTACGGCTGAAGGCGTAGCTGATGGGGGAGCCAGCGTGGAGGAATGTTGGCAGGTACATGTCGACGGAGCGGCAAGCAGGGCAGGAGCGGGGGCTGGTGTAGTCCTCATTAGTCCGCTAGGCGCCTTGCATGAGGTGGCATTACGGTTCGCAACCCTTAAAACAAACAACGATGCAGAGTACGAAGCCGTCCTTGCGGGGCTTCACTTTGCAAGAGAGCTAGGCGCCCAGAAAGTGAATGTCAAAACCGACTCAGCGTTGGTGGTTAACCAGTTGAATGAGGTGTATGAAGTGAAGGAAGAAACGCTAGGAGCTTATGTGCATGCCATCCGCAGAAAGTGCGCCTGGTTCCGTGATGTGACATTCACACACGTTCCAAGAGAGAAGAATGCCCATGCAGATGTCTTGTCCAAGTTAGCAACGGCTATGGACTTTGAGGAAAGTCGGACGGTGATCGTAAAGAAAGAGGTGCCACATGAGGAGATGGTAATGGCATCTCTCGCGGCAGGAGAAAGGAAAGGATGGATGGCTCCAATATGGCTTTTTCTCACCCAAGGAGTTGTGCCGGAGGACCCGAAAGAAGCATGGCACTTGCGACGAAAGGCAGCCCGTTGTGCCATAGTCGATGGGGTGTTGTACTAGAGGTCACATTCAGGCGCCTATCTGAGATGTCTAACTGAGGGCGAGGGGTTGGAAGCAATCAAGGAAGTTCATCAAGGAACCTGTGGCACGCACGCAGGCGCCCAGAGCCTCGATAAGATTCTTCTCCGGCAGGGATATTATAGGCCAACGATACGGGCGGACGCTGGGAAGCATGTGGAAGCTTGTCACCAATGCCAGATTCACGCCAACGATGTACACATCCCAGCGGCACCCATGCAAGGGAACGTAGGCGCCTGGCCCTTTGCCTAGTGGGGCATGGACCTCTTGGGCCCCTTTCCTAAGGCGCCTGGTCAATTCAAGTACTTGATTGTGGCAGTGGACTACTTCACCAAGTGGATAGAGGCAGAGCCATTGGCGTCGATCACTGAGTCACATGTTCGGAAGTTCACTAAGAGGAACATCTTTGCGAGATTTGGACTCCCGGAGTCCATCATCACTGACCACGGGAAGCAATTCGATTGAAAAAAAATTCATCGAGTTTTGCGATGAGAATGGAGTAATTATGAGGTTCTCTTCCGTAGCCTACCCATAAGCCAATGGGCAAGCTGAGGCGACCAACAAAAGCATACTACATGGATTGCACACTATGCTGACGGCGGCCAAGGGCAAGTGGGTGGAGGAACTGCCGAGCGTCTTGTGGGCGCATAGAACCACGTTCAAGGTGGCTACGGGCGAGACACCCTTCGCCTTGACATATGGGAGCGAAGCCGTTTTGCCCGTGGAAATGCGAGTCCCGACCTTCAGGATGACTCGCCGAGGCGATTCAATGGACGCCAAGAAGCGGATCGACGAGTTGGATCTATTGGATGAGCGCCGAGAGGTTGCGGCTCTACGATTGGCAGCAATAAAGAGTCAGGTTGCGAGGTATTACAACAAAAAGATGAGGGCACACAACCTTGTTGTGGGCAACCTTGTGTTGAAACGAGACTTTCGTCCAAATGCCGCGGAGGGAAAGTTGGCACCAAAGTGGAAGGGACCATATCGCATTCAGGAAGTTGTTGGCCCAAATACGTTCAAACTGGAGAATATGTCAGGTAAGAGGGTGAAGAGGACATGGAACACCCATAATTTGCGGAGGTACGAAGTAGAGGAAAAGACTGGTGTTGTGTCAGTGACAGACGCACAGGCGCACGATCAGGAGTAAAAGCAAGTAGCAAGGCGTTTCTGGGGAGGGCTTGTTTTGATTAGTAGGTTTCTGTTAAGTTGTCACAAGCGCCCTTTTTGCGCCCGCTCCATGTAAAGCGCCCAGATTTTGCGCCCATTTTCCGAAATCGGATTAATTATTATCTACGAAATTTGGCATCGGAATACCCCATTACGCCCAATATAGAGCCCATACATTGGCGCCCAATACATTGCGCCCAACATAGCGCCCACCCGCTTGCGCCCTTGAAATTAATGGTACAAGCGCAAGACTAAGGGCATGCGGAATTATTTGTTGTTCGCCTCAAAGATATAAGGTAGAGAATAGTTTGTCAGTCAGGCAACACGTATGTGCATCAGGCGCCTAACATAGCCAGACAAAGTTATGAAAATTAATGAAAGTTTGCATAAACAGGCGCCAATCAAAAGAAAATAGTCCATAAACAGTCGATCCGAAGGCGCCTAAACAAGGCATAACCAAAAGTCAAGGCAAGTCAAGAGAATTGTTTATCAGGCGCCCATGACCATTGCATTGGAAAAAGATTAACACATAATTGGGTTATTAAAAAATACAAGTCTTGGGCACTACCACGCAGGCGCCTCATTATCGGAGTCGGAAGGAGAATCACCATTGCCCTCATCTTCATCTCCGTCGTCATCAGTAGGCGCCTCGTCTTTAGCAGGCGCCTCGTCTATATGGGAGATGACGAAACTCACCATGGACTGAAGGTCCCAGTCGAGGTCGGGATGATCTGATGCGAGCTTCCTCCGCAAAAGCAGAATGTTGTTCAGAGCAGCATCAGCCTTGAGCGCCTGGCCAGCACTTGACTTCGCGAAATCCGCGGATTGGGCCTCCAGCACTTCCTTCTCTGTCTCGAGCGCCTGCTTCTCTGTCTCGAGTGCCTGCTTCTCCTCCTTAAGCGCCTGAATCGCACTCAAGTGCTTCTTATTCTCCCTGCCCAAGTGCTTATTCTCCTTCTTCAGGGCGCCCTTCTCTTCCTTAAGAATGTCCATCTCGCTCCTCAGGGCGCCTGCCTCATTTTCTAGCTCAACCTTCTCCTTCTCCAGCTTAACTTTTGTCTCCGCGTGCGCCCTCTTCTCATCTTGGAGTTGCGCCTCATATTCTTCACGCAGCTGTTTCCTCTCTTCATCAATCTTTATTTGCACAAGAGAGGCGCTCTTCGCGGCCTCAAGTTGTGCTTCATTGCACATTTGGACGAGCTCCTCTTGGCGCTTCTGAGCTGTCGCAAGATTATCCTGGGCCACACTGAGCGAGGTGGTTGCCTCGTGGGCCTTGGCGCGTAGCGCCTCGCGCTCCATTATTCCCTTCTTCGCCACCAACATCATCTACAAAGAAACATAGTGTAGAGGATAATGGTCAGGCGTGTGTTGTTTTGTAAGGTTGATGCAAAAAGGTACAAGGCAAAAAAAAAAAAACTTACATGGGCGTTTATCCTCGCCACCTCACCCCAAGGATCGGCGTCCTCCAAGTCCTGGGGCGCCCGGAGTACGTCCCCCGCAGTCAGAACCATGTGAAGGGCGGCGCCTCGTTCCAGAGCCGACCGGTCAGAGCAAGCTATACTCACCTTGTGCTTCGGAGGTTGAAGCCACTTCTCCAACCCCTCCGGCACCTTGGCCTCGCCTGACAGGCGCATGCGTTTGCCCGAGTCTTGCTGGGCGCCCTCTGCCTTCCTTTTCTTCCTGATAGATAAAGGCTCGTTGTCTTCGGGATCATCAGACCCCGCGAGTAGGTCAACTACAGACGCTTGTACATCTATAGGATCGGTGGCATGAGGCGCATCCCAGGTCTCTAGCAGATCTCCTAAAGGCTCCAGCGCCTGGGGGCTCGGCACTTTGGTCGGCTGAATCTTCTTCGGGGATTTCACCCTTCGGCTTGGGCGCCCCTGCCCTTTGCTAGTAAGGCGGGCGGCCACCTCCATCTCAGTCGGGGCAGTCCGTGTTTGGTTTGAGCTGGCGCCCTTCGAGGAGGTGGGTTTGATGACTCCACCGGATTTCTTGCCACCTTTCTTGGCGCTAGGCGCCTGCTTTGCCGCCAGCCCGAGTTGCGCGAACCGCGACTTCATGAGGGTGCTCATGGAGGTGAAGTTGGCGCCTGCACAAACAAATATGGTTCGAGCTCGTCAATAATCAATGTACAAGTTCAAAAAAAACTACTTCCTAAATAGGCGCCCACCATCACGATAGTATTCGTGCAGAACAGGCGCCCGAGAAGATGTGGGACGAAGATTAATTGGGTACAAGGAAATGAGCTTGGCGCCTTCAATCTCCTCGGCAGTGGAAAGAGTCACATCAACATTGAATGCCTCATGATTGCCCATCACCCAACCTCTGGTGAATGAGGCGCCACTTTCGTAAAAGGAATCCTTATGCGCCTTTATGAAGAAGAAACTCCTAAACCACACCCTCCCTAACTTGGGACAATCTATTAAGAAATCGCCGGGAAGACCCAGGCGCCTCTGCAGTGATAGGCAGTTATCGGAGTAGACCATGTTGAAAAAATAATGGAAAAGGTTGAAGGTGGGCTCGACGTTATGCTGACGACATTTCAACTTAAAAAGAATATGTATAAGGAAAACAGAGGGTGACAGGCGCCCAATCGAACATCGGCAAATGGTTAGTATGCCCTCTAGGATATAATCGAGGGGAAATCGGAGTCCAAAACGAAAATACTCCCGGTAGAGGCCAAGCCACCGAGGTCCGACTACTCCAACTCTGGCCATACTGGAGGCAGGCGCATAGGACCAGGATCGCGGAAGTTGTATTGACACGACCAGATTTTCTAACTCCAATGATTTCACGGTCAAAATTTTCCGTGGCCCTGCTTCACGAACCGACAAGTGGCATGTCTCGTCAGGCGCCTGTCCCGACGGCCAGGTGTCCACCCATCTCCGTAGTTTGATGGAATCACCCTCCTCGGCGCCCGAGTCGGAAGATTGCGGAGACATCGTCGATCCGGATGAGTGCGAAGATCCAGGCGCGGCGCCTATAAGGTTCGACGCAAAGGGGGTGAATCAATTCTAAGCCCTAAAAACTACAGGCGCCGACCCTAAAAAAAAAAAAAAACTTACTCGGCTTGGGATTTGAAGGCGCCGCCGCATCACCGGAAGGGTTTACAGGAGGATGGGAGGCAGGCGCCGCACTCTTGTTGGCGGTGTCATTTGCCGACGTTGTCTGACAGCTGAGCGGCGTAGCGGTCGAGGGGGCATCACCCTTACTAGGCGCCTAAGATTTGGTGCGAGAAGTCCAGCGCCCTTCTCGCGGAGTGGATCGGGAGAGAAGTGTCCCTCCAATTCTTGTAAAACGTCGGGCTCCGATGGCTTCTCCGTGGCCGGGTTAGTGGAGGGGGCGCCCGAGCCAGATTTGCTTGACATTGTGAGGATCAAGAAGGAGATAGAAGGCGCATAAGCGGCTCGGCGAAGAGAGGGAAAGACAGAGATAGTTAGAGAGAGAAGGGATTTGTGCGAATGAAGAAGGGAGGCGGTGGTTTGAGGTATTTATATGAGGAGGAACCCAACGGGCAACTACGGGGATGCGCGCCCGAACCTCAAATCTAATCCTCACCGTCCGTTTGAATTTTGAATTTAAAAAAAAAATTTGAAATTCAAATTTCAAGACACACGGAGAATGGGGCATATAGGGACGGGCACGCCATGGACTTCATAAATTAAGGAGCTTGGGCGCCTGACCTGATGGTTTTGGCGCCTCCTTATGAATACTCAATCGTGGATAGGAAAACAAAGGATGAGGGAGCCATAGTCGATGAAAGAGCAGGGGGGGCAAGGTTTGTTCACGAAAACACTCAAGAGAGCGCCAAGAGGTGACCTGAACAGTTAAGGCGACCAGGCTCCTATCGAGCGGTTGAGGGCGCACGAATAATCTGGCAGTCGATTAAACGCCTTGGGCAGCGGAATTACATAAATAGTTAGACGCTCATTGCATGCAATGAGCGCCTAACTGGGGGACAATTGTTGGGTGTGTGCATAGATGAGCCATTAGGGGACAGGGGCCCATGGAGGCTGCTTAGGCCCAAGCCCGCTTCAGTGCAAGGAGATGGGGATGAAAGGTAGAAGTAAGGCCCATTCGAGGATCCACATGCGCATAACGACAAGAATGGAGCGGGGACCGTACAAATCGGGGACCAGAAGGCTGAGGGCATGACACCTGGCTATGTGGTCCTGCAGGCGCCAGGGGCAGGGAGCCCAGGAGCTGCCACGTGGAGGCGCCCGACCGTTGGGCCGTACCGAGCATTTAATGACGCGCTGACGTGGAGCTAAATTCTAGGAGCCTGGTCGGGGCCTCGACGAGTATAAATAGTACTCGGTAGGTAGCATTTAGGCAGGTTGGCTTCTCTCACTAAAATCTCTCTGAGCACTTATCTCTCTAAATTCAGCACTAACTTGAGCGTTGGAGTGCTAACGGGCATCCCAAAGCCCTTTAGGCGCATGTCTCTGCAGGATCTAGGCGCCCCAGGAGAAGTTCATCAGTCGGAGGTCCGGAGAGGTGGGCCCGGAGGGTACTTGGCTCAAACAGGGATCAACTTCTTGCGTTGTTGATAAGACAAATCAGGGATCTTACCTGTGGCGAGATATTTCGCAAGGTCTGCATACCAGGGAGCTTGTTGGACAAGGAGAGCATAAAGTTGCTCGTCTGGAAAAGACTCATTGATCTCAACCTTGTCCTTAGGAATTGCCTCAAGCTCAAGTCTAGAAATGTGATCGGCTACCAGGTTAGCCGAACCTTTCTTGTAAAAAATTTCAACGTCGAATTCCTGCAAAACAAGAACCCAACGAAGCAATCTCGGGTTGGCCTCCTTCTTTGAAAGAAAGTGCCTTATAGCTATATGGTCAGTGTACACAACTGTTTTCGATCCCATCAAATAAGATCGAAATTTATCAAAAGCAAACACTACAGCAAGCAGTTCTTTTCAGTAGTGGAATAGTTCTATTGTGCATCATTAAAAAGCTTACTTGCATAGTACACCGCGTGCAACTTACCTTCCTTCCTCTGCCCCAAAATTGCCCCGACTGCATAGTCGCTAGCATCGCACATAATTTCAAATGGTAAAGTCCAGTCGGGTGCAGTGATAATGGGAGCAGAGGTTAAATCCTTCTTAAGTCGATTGAAGGCCTGAAAACACTCATCAGAGAAGTTACACGCAGTATTTTTGGCCAACAAATCACATAAAGGCTTGGTGATCTTTGAGAAGTCCTTAATAAATATCCGGTAAAAACCGGCATGACCTAGAAAAC